TCAGCCTGGCGGGGACTAAGAGAAGGAGCAGCAGGCCTCCGGGCCCCGCCGCCTGCAGATTGGAAAATGTCCAGTATCCCTACCATCTCTACATTGCTCCTTCTACCAGCCGTACAGAGCGCTCAAGTCCAAATGGTCCAGACAGACCTTTTCAGTGTCCAACCTGTGGGGGTACGGTTCACCCGCATTCAGAACCTAAAACAGCACATGCTCATCCACTCAGGAATTAAACCATTTCAGTGTGACCGCTGTGGAAAAAACTTCACCAGGGCTTACTCGCTAAAGATGCATCGCCTAAAGCATGAAGTGATTTCCTAGTACCAGACTACTTAAACCAGGAGTCAGAAGAGACCCTTGTTCAGTATGATCTTGGAGAACACAGCTTTGAGAACAACTCCTCTCTGTTCCAATGCCAGTCATTTCACAGGTCTCCTCCACTCAGAATTGCGAAAGCACTTTTCCCTTGGAGGATCTTGGTGAGCTGTCAGAAAAGGAGGATGAAATACCAGAGCAGCCAAAGAGCAATGCGTGTGCTGAGGCAACCAGAGATGAACCCTTAAAACCGGAACTGTCTTCTATAACTATTATATTTGGCTTCAGTTTTCATTTTTGAAAAGTGCCAGTGCTTAGTCTTGTTCATTTAAATTTAACTTTTTAAACAAAGAGTTTGGGGAAGAATTTTTCTTTTTACTTCTCTTTATGATTGAGAGAGTACTTCTTTAAATATACAGTAATGTTGAAACATAATAGAAACTAGGAGACATAAGGAGAACCAGTAGACTGAAAATACATGCCAGTTTCTACTCCCACTATAAAAAGGCTCATCATAGCATTAGATAAATAACAGGTGATTTACTGACCTTCCTAAGTTGTAAGAATCGACCACAATCAAATCACTAAACAGAATTTGACATTAGGGCCTGATGTTTACTCCTACACTCAAGGACATTGTACACTTTTTTTAAAGTTTGTTGGTTTAGGATGTATTTATGGTATAGCTTTCTTATAAATTATTGGGGTAAACACTTGTGAAATAACAGTATATTCTTTTTTTTTTTTTAAACCCTGTCATTTCTGTTAACATTTTTTTATGGTGAAAAAATTGGTAGTGGGATAGGCATTCTCAGTACCTTTGTATCACCACTTACTCCTCCAAATAATCTTTCTTCTGTGAAAAAGACCATGATTGACAGTAATCTACTGTGCATGAATGACCAGACATGGAAACATGCAATATAAAGTATGTAAACCCCAGCTTTAAAGAAACCCTATTTTTAATAATACTTTTCTGACTAACTTTGTTGTTTGTTTGTTTTTTTTTTTTGATGCAACAGCAAGAGATAAGAGGTTTATTGCGGAGCTCCGGGCCCACCCTTATCTCTCGCAGGAGACAGAGGAGTCGACCGCGAACAGACAAAGTTGGGTTTTTTTATACACTTTAGGGAGATACAACTGGGTATCAGCTTCTCATTGGGTGATGTTCTGACTAACTTTGATGTTTACCTGGTCTTTGAATCTTAATTCTTGGCTAATTAATTCATTGCCAAAATAACTTTTTCTCTTGCCCTATCCACCATACTTCCTCCTGCGTATCTGATGTGCTACTATGTAAAGGAAATATATTGGAGATAATCTATATTTTATATATAGATATATGTATTACTGGTGATGTTTTTATCATGCTCTTTTAACAAAAATTAAAAAATAAATCTCTGTTAATGCTACATTCTCAACACTATTAGAATTGTTTACAAAAATCCCCTATGACAGTGATACATTGTCCTAGTTCTAAAATATTTTTAAACATTGCAAAGTTTATGAAAGACAGTTACTGTAATTATTTAGACAATGTAAGCAATAATGTAAAATATGAAAAAAGACTATAAAATTATGATTCATAAATATTTGGAGGGGAAAATGGAGAATTGTTATGATTGAAGAAAAACAAAAAAATTTTAAGTGATGAATAACACCTTTTTTGCTGCTGAAGAGTATGGTTTTCTGGTTTATAGTTCAAAGTTATATGATGCTCTTGACTGGGATATATTCTTTTGGTTTGATGTCATTAAAGCATCACTAACTTTAATCCTAAATATTCTGGAATGTATGAATAATGAACTTTTCAATAACTTTTTTTTAATGTACCAAAGTTAAATCATTATGAAAGCATCTGATTAAATGAGTTTTTGAGTTTTTAAAAAGGTACAAATACAATTTTTCTAGTAAAACACAGGATCTAAATTTTATTCTGGTACTAGACCTTAATAATAAAATTTATTTAAAAAAAAAAAGACACATGCAAATTGAATGATACCATAGAAATAGGTCAGTTTTGCTATCTTACCGGGCTTGAATTGAGCCATCACAAGAAGTTTCTGACAGAGATATTACTATTATCAAAAAGAGCCATAGAGTTCAACACATCTTTTGGATCTGAGATATCTGCATTGAAAAACATCTAAGCAGCAGCAAGTGGCTTCTGGAAAACTGGCAGCACTAGATGTGACCAATGTAGAGCTGTGAGTTTCTAGGCCATAATACTTCTTAGATCTTCCATATTCAATGTCAAAATTTCACATGTATATATTATTGTTATTGTTATATGCTGTCAAGATGACTATGACTTATAGTGATCCTATGAAAAATGGCTCTGAACTTTGCCCTATCCTGAAACAACCTCAACATCTCTGACAAACCTGTTTTCATTGCAGCAGTCACTGTGTCAATCCATCTCTGATCTTTTACCCTTCCAAGCATGATCTCCTCTAAGGACTGGCCCCTCCTGATGACATTTCCAGAGTATGTGTGACAGTTTCAAAATGCCCTAACTTGGGCCAGGCACAGCTTGTTCTTTAAACTAACATCTTAAGTCTTTAATTATTTAGCGAGGCCCTTGGCAATAGATTTGCGCATTGGAGCATGTCTTTTGAGTGCCTAACTGTGCTCCTATGGGTATTAATTGTGGATCCAAGTAAAATAAAACCGTTGAAAATTTCAGTCTTTCTTTATGATGACATTATCTATTTTACCAATTGTGAAGATTTTTGCTTCTTTTTTGGCAAATGCAATCCATTTTGAAAAGTGTGGTATTTGATTTTTCAGTATGTGCTTCAAGTCATCCATAATAAAGTTCTATCATTAGCACATTACTGGTTATTGAAGAGTTTTCCTCCGTTCCTGATGCCACATCCTTCTTTCCATAGTCAAGTTTCTAAGACTGCTTGCTCAGCATACAGATTACATAGGTTTGGTTCAAGAACATAACCCTGATGTACACTTTTCCTGATTTTAGATTATGAAGTACCCCTTTTTTCTACTTGAGCATTGCTTCTTCATCTATATACATGTTCTTCAGCACAAGTAAGTTTTCTAGACTTTCGATTACTTAGGAAGTTAGCCACAATTCATTATCATCCACAAAGTCCAATGCCTTGTCATAGTAAATAAAACACATCTTTCTGGTATTCTCTGCTTTCAGTCAGGATTCATCTGACATCAGCAAGGGTTAATCTGATATCATCCCTCCTTCCACAGCCTCTTGTGAATCTAGTTCTAATTTCTGGTAATTCATTGTACTGCTTCTGCCACTTTAAATTACCTTTATCAAGATTTTACTTACATGTTATATTATAAAAAAATAATGATGATATCCTACATGATCAGCCAGAACATAGTCAGGGGCCAAATGTAGAGCAGGCCATTAATTACTCATTAAAAAGTTTAAGTTGAAACTGAAGAAAATGAGTCCACAAGATCCAAAATATGACCTTGAGTGTATACCACTCAAATTTAGAGACTATTTCAAGAATAAGTTTGAAGCATTAAACACTAATGACTGAAGACTAGATGAGTTGTGAGATGACATACAGGTAGAAACAAAAGATCCCCAAAATGACAGGAAAGAAAGAAAAGACTAAAATGCATATCAGAAGAGGCTCTGAAACTTCTTCTAGGACATAGGGAAGCTAAAGTTAAAAGAATAAATAATGATATAAGAGAGCTAAACAGAAGACTTCAAAGGGCAGCTCAACAAAACAAAGCAAAGCATTATTATGAAATTCTCTTGGATTTCTAGTGTCTGGTTATGTTTCATAGCTTGTGAAAGCCTAACTCCAATCTCTGCCTTGGTTTTCACAGCCTTCTTCTCTATGTATCTGTTTGCCCAAACTCCTTCTTTTGTGAAGATGGTAGTCGTTGGCTTTAGGGCCCATATGATTTCATCTTGAAGTCCCTGACAAGTTAAATCAGCAAAACTAAAATGTCTAAAAAAAGGTTCTATGTGGACATAAATGAAACACTCTACAATATTCTTTTGATGTAATATCTGACATGATTGTTTTGAATCTCTTGGCATCTAAATTACTTGGTTCATGGTGTTGGGGTTATCCAACCAAGCCATTGACTGCCCATGACTGCCCACAGGTGTCTTTTTGAACCTTGCTTGAAACTGGCTGCCTGGAGTCACTTTAGGTCAAACAGTACTTTAATGATGTTTTGGACAGTTTTGCTTTGTGCATTAGGTTCTAGAATATTATTTACTAGCAGGAACTCCATAGTATGATTAAAGGATGATTTTAAGCTTCCACACAAATTTAAATTAAACATTGTGCACGTAGTAACATTATAAAATAGTTTCATTTTACAGTGATCTTCTTCTACTAGCAAATAATGGTCATTTTCCAGTTATGGGAAGGCTTAAGGTGTATTAGTTTAGGAATAATAGTCTATTTAATGAATATATTAAGCAATAATGAAGTGGTTTAGTACATACAACCAAACGAGACAAAGAAAATAAAATCATACGAATATGCGTAACTCGTTCAATTGGTGGAGAAGACTACGGAAGCCTGCGTGGCCAAGAAGCACGCTGAACTGCATTAAACCCTCCCACAGGACTGGAAAAACGAGTCTACGGCCCGCTGAGACAGACGCAGTGCGCAGGCGTAGTAGCGAGCCTCTTGAAGGCCATTAATTTTAACTGCGCAGGCGCAACCGGCAGCGTGGTCCTCTTGGAGCTGCTGTAGCGGTGCTGGCGCCTGGTGAGCCTACGGAATGAGCACCGCGGAGGCCGACAGCTGGGCGTGGCTGCTGGTGCTGAGCTTCGTGTTCGGGTGCAATGTCCTCAGGATCCTCCTTCCGTCCTTTTCTTCCTTCGTAAGTGGTTGTCGGGTCGTCAGAGACCAGAGAGTTTTAGTCCCTGGAGGGCTGGGCGTAGACACATTGATCCGAAGTTGGCCGCCCGATCGCCACATTCGTCCTGCACTGTTTTAAGATCGAAAAAGTTTAATTACTCTCATAAAAAACCGGAGAACCTTACCTTCAAATTGATTACTTGGGAAAGGTGGGAGGAGACACACCTGGGAGTGCTTGGCCACATTGCCTTATGGCACATGCCATGTACAGGTATTGCTTTCTGTTTCCAGGGAGAGAATGCACGACAAGTACTGTGCCAGGCATTGTGCCAGGCAGTGTGCATTTTCTCATGTCTAGATTTCAAGGGTGTGACAGATGTATCTCATCTTCATTACTCTCCTAGAGGAGAAGGCTGAGTGTTTATATAGGTAGTTGTTGGCTTAAGCCATCCATCTGGCTGGGGCTGGGGTGGAGGTTTGATCTTCTTTTTGAATTTCCTAGTTCTGCCCTGCTGTGGCAGGAATAAAGGTTTGGTGGCAAATTGAACGGGGTGGGCATGTTTCTTGATTAAAGATGCTCTTTATATTCTCAATTAGAATAAAAGATTTTCTGACACAGACTAAAACTGCAGAAATTGAAGGTATGAATTGTAGCATTGCCTTGAGAAGCGAATATCTCCCTGCTTTTCTGAAACGATAAATGTGAGTGTGTTTGTAAAATAGGAACAAGTATCTGCTTCTTTATATTTTACCAGTATTTACTGAGTACCTCTTAGTTCAAAGCTATATTCTGGTACCTTATTACCGTTGTCCTAGGCATAGGAATTCTCTCTTATGTTCCCTTGCCCCTCTTCGGAACGTTTGGTGATGTTCTCCAATGTTTAAGATGATGTAATCTCATAGATTTGTACTTAATGTTGCAGAAAAAGACATTAGTTCTTGTCTTCTTTCTTGCAATATCACATTATTTCCATTTTTACTCTGTATATCACTCCTTTTCATCTCAGGTTGAAGTCACACTGAACTGTCAGTTACTAACAGAACCTTTTTGGTCTTAATTTCTCAGAGATAGATGGGGAAGTGAGTATGTGTTTGGATATGGTGGCGGTTATAAATAAAAATATTCTCTCAGACATTTAGCTCAAGCTTTAACTAAACCTATTCTCTGCAGCCAATTGACTCTTAAAACAGATTTTTACTGTCTTTCATACTTTGGGCATGTTGCCTGGAGGGACCAGACAGACCTTGGAAAAGGGTGTCATGCTCAGAAAGGGTGGAGGGATAGTGCAAGAGAGGAAGACTGGATGAGTTGGATTGACACTGTGACTGTGGCAATTGAGGCAGATATGTCAGAGACAGATTGACTCAAGATAGGGCAGGGTTCAGAGATATTGTTCATATGGTCACTATGAGTTAGTTGTAATTGACTTGATGGCACATAACAACAATAACACATACACATATACTCTGTTGTAGTTATTGTTAGGTACCATCATGTCAAGTACAACTCATAGTGACCTTGTGAACAACAGACCTGAATCTCTTGTCCTATCCTGTGCCATCCTCATCAGCTCTGACTCACTTGAACCCATTCTGCAATCTCAATACCAATCCATCTTGTAGGGGACCTTCCTGTCTTTTGCTGACACTCCACTTTTCCAAGCATGATATCCTTTTCCAAGGTAATAGCCTTTCCTTGCAACATGTCCAAGGTATGAGATAAAGTTTTGCCATCCTTGCCTCCAAGGAGCACTCTTTAACTGGCTGTGATCAATTAGTTGCGGCCTCCACTGCACTCAGACCAGCCAAGGTGTGAACTCCTTCGAGCCGGATTCGAACCAGCGACCTAAGGATGCCTGATAATTACCACTACAGTCCTCCGCTCTACCAACTGAGCTATCGAAGGACTCCCAAGGAGCACTCTGGTTGCTGTTTCTCCAAGAGATATCTGTTTGTTCTTTTGACAGTCCATGGGATATTCAGTACTCTTCTCCTGTACCACAGATCAAAGGCATCAATTCTTTTGTCATCTTATTCATTGTCTAGTTTTCAGATGCATAGTGAGAAATGCCTTGCGCAAAATCTTGAATGATCCAGTACACACCAAAAGAAGGTGGAAGGAATACACAGAATCACTGTACCAAACAAAATTGGTTAACAATATTTCAGGAAGTACCAAATGATCAAGAGGCAGTGGTAGCAAAGGAAGAAATTCAAGCTGTATGGAAGGCATTGGCAAAAATAAGCCTTAGGAATAAATGGGATACCACTTGATATGTTTGAACTCACAGATGCAAACCTTGACATGTTCAACAGTCTCTGCTAGGGAATTTGGAGGGCAGCTGCCTGCCTGACTGGCTGGAAGGTATCCATATTTGTTCCAGTTTGCAAAAGAGGTGATCTAACGAAATGGAAACTGTTGAACATTATGGTTAATATCACACACATGCAAAATACTGCTGAAGATCATCCAAGAACAGCTGGAACAGTACATTGACAGGGACCTTCTAGAAGTTCAAGTTGAGTTTGTGGCACCTGGGATATCATTCGTGGTGTCATATAGATCCTGGCTAAAAGTAGAGAAGACCAGAAAAATGTATATCTGTGTTTATGGACTATGCAGAGGCATTTGTCTGTGTGGATCACAACAAACTATGGCTAACATTAAGAATGGGAATCCTGCCTTTATTGCTGCTTTGTTCACAATAGCAAAGAGTTGGAAACAACCTAAGTGCCCATCAACAAACGAATGGATAGAGAAGCTGTGGTATATTCACACAATGGAATATTACGCTGCCTTTAAAACCAAGGAACTCATGCAGTGTTATTCAAAATGGGTGACCTTGGAGGACATTATGCTGAGAGGAATATCTCAGTCACAAAAGGATAGGTGCTGCATGGTGCCATTGTTGTAGAATGGGACTGACATCAGCGTTGGTGTAAGACTGAGAAAAATTGGATAAATTATGTATACTTTTTTGAAACAGATGAGGGAGAAAACTGTTTGAAAACAATATATGATTGGGTATTATGATTATGACAAGAGTCCAGAATGAAGGTTGCGTAGTGGAGTGTACTTGGGGCGTAGGTTGGTGGGGGATTCTGTACCAATGAAATAATTTTACTTTTCAAAGAGAAGTGTGAACTGGGGGAGGGGTGGGCAGGGAGAAAAATGCAACAATGAATGTATGGAAATCCAAAATACCTGTAAATGTTCATCAAAATTAATTAAAAAAAAAAAAGAATGGAAATCCCAGAACACTTAATTGTGCTCATATGAAATCTATTCCTAGACTAAAAAGCTGTTGTCCAAACAGAACAAGGGAACACTATGGTTTGAAATCAAGAAGGGTGTGTATCATCAGTGTTGTGTCTTTTCTCCATGCCTAGTCAAGTCTATATACTGAGCAAATCATTTATGAAACTGGACTGTCTGAACAGGAATGTGGCATTGAGATTGGAGGAAGACTGATCAACAACATGTGTTAAGCAGATGGCACACTTTGCTTGCCGAAAATGAGGAGGAATTGGAACACTTGCTACAGAAGATCAAGGACTACAACCTTCAACGTGAATTACATCTCGACCTCAAGAAAACAGTGGTCCTAGATTGAGAAAGGATTGAAACTGTCAATGATTTCATCTTACTTGGATCTCCAATTAACACCTTTGGTACTAGTAGTCAGGACATCAGAAGCCTTATGTTTTTAGCAAGTCTACTGGCAGGGACCTCTCCAAAGTGCTAAAGTGCAGTGATGTTAGTTTGAAGGCTAAGGTGCATCTGATTGAGGCCATGGTCTTGAGACATAAATCCTATGAGAGTGCTTATAGTCTTGGGTAGCAAAAACATTTCACCTATTTAATGAAAAGGAACACTGGTAGCCTAGTGCTAAGAATTTATACTGCCTACTGTAAAGTGCTGTGACAGTGATGTGCCAATCGTGGTAATGGGTACCCATGGTGGACAGTGTTGGGTGGAATTTCCTGACTAAATCAAGCCTGGAAGCAGGAGTGGCATCCACTTCCAAAATGGCTTGCCTCTGGAAACTCTATGTACGAACAGTGCTCAGGCCTTTTGTTCATAGGGTTGCTATGAGTCGTCTGTGACTCGATGGCACCTAACAACAACAACAACTGTAAAGTGTGCGATTTGAATCCATTTGAATCCATCAGCTGCTCTGCGGGAGAAAGATAGGCATTTTTCTCAGGTGCGATTTACTGCCTCTGAAAAACCTGCTGGAATGTCAGCTATGAGTTGGTTACAGCTTGGTATCACACAGCAACAACACCTCTATCTCTAAATAAAGGTTGGTGGCTTAAGTCCACTCAGGTGCTTCAGAAGATAGACTTGGGAATCTCTTTCTGAAAGATTACAGCCATTGAAAATCCTGTAGAGCATGGTTCTATTTAAACACTAGTGTATGGATTTGGGAGATGACTCCATAGCAGATAGTTCAGAGGTTATTTGGAGTTGAAGAGAAAAAATTGAAGTGTTGCAGACCAAGGGTCCCAAAGAATGTTGTTGTTGTTGTTCTGTGCC